CGCCCGCTCGCTCGCTTACTCGCTCTCTCGCACTCACTCACCCACGCACGCCAGCACGCCCTAGTATTAGCACCTAGTACTTTAGCATTACGACTTAGTGGTAGTGCCAATGGTAGAGTATGCTCTATATGTCTGCAACCCACGTTTCCTGTTTCCTTTGCATGCTAAACAAAAAAAAAAAGAAACCCGCCTATCGAAAAGAAAGAACTTCTTCTTGCAGCATTTTGATTTTGATAGTTGCCCGCCCGTAGCTGTAGCTTTATGTGTCGATAGACCGATTGACAATTGTCGATGAACTCGTACTAATCGCGTAACCTCTCTCTTCCCAACTCTCTCTTAACATCCGATGTGGTACACCCGTACAGATCAACGATCTCAATGCCCAAGTTAACGATCTTCGCGGCAAGTTGTAAGTATTAATCGAGATAATCGATCGGAAGCCGATAATTGATCGATTATTTTACCTTTTCCCCTATAGCGTCAAGCCAGCCCTGAAGAAGGTCTCCAAATACGAAAACAAATTCGCCAAGCTGCAGAAGAAGGCCGCTGAGTTCAACTTCCGCAACCAGCTCAAGGTGGTGAAGAAGAAGGAGTTCACGCTGGAGGAGGAGGAGAAGGAGGTAAGAGGGGGTCTACCGCATATAGGGGGTATATTTCTAATTTATATAGCCTTAACTCGATGATCAAAACCAAATACACCGATCTTGATCTTTAAATCTCTATCTCTTCTGTGACATTTAGAAAAAGATAAAAGATGCCGCTGTGCTAAAGCAAGCCAAAAAGTGTAAGAACCTGAGTGTGTGCGTGTGACGTGACCCAGATCCTTCTGTTTGCCTTGAGCACCTGAGTGCACCCGCTCTATATCTTTCTCTCTATATCTTTTGTCGCACACTGATCTGTTCTATTTTTATATTCTGTCCTTGTCTTTCAACGATCGTAGCTGTCTTTAGTCAGTAGTTGTAGTCAAACACTTTCTCTCGATCGACGATGTGAATTTGATATAGCTATTTACAAAATTTAAATCGAAAGTATCAATTTAATGTTATCGAAAATATCAATTTATCGTCATCGAAAGTATCAAATTGACCATCACACCATATCGATGTTTTTCGTAGCACACGTCACCTTGTAAAATGTAGATCACCATGTAGTTTTTAGTGTCGGCACTGAGCATCCAGATGTTGTATGTGACCATTCGTTGTTATGCCTATTATCTTACTAATGCCATTCCATTCTCTCCTTTATTCCGTCATGATCCGTATCCGTACCCGTATCGATTACCAAATACCGATGAGCAGAAGAAACCCGACTGGTCCAAGGGCAAGCCCGGAGATGCCAAGGTGAAGGAGGAGGTTGAGGCCGAAGCTTAAGTGTCCACACGTCCACTAGTGTCCACTGACCCGTGACTCCCGCCCTAAACAATAATTGAAATTATTTACAACAATTATCTGAAGCAATACAATTTATATAAATCTATTAATATATATATATATCCACAAATATATATGCATGTATATATCTCGCCATATATATGTGTTCACAATGGATTTGATCAGAAATGAAGTCAATAAACAACAACAGCAACAACTAAAACAACTCAAAATCAAAATCAAACTCAGACTCAAACTCAAACTCAAGAACAAAAACAACTGCTACAAATAATTCAGATCAACGATTCAAAACAACAGCCAAACATCTGAACACCTTGATGAATTATTGATTATATTTCATTATTTACAAATTATATTTTTTAATGTAAATTAAATTAAATTACAAAAAAAAAAGAAACAACAGACAGAGTCTCGCACATTATTTCTATCTCTCTATATTTTTACTATCTTTCGGCACCCGAGATCAAAATTTGCACACAAACATACACACGGGATTACAAAGGGGATTATACTTTATGGTAGATATGGGATAGAATTCTGAATTTAGAGCAGGAATAAAGGGAACTAAATCTGAATTTGCTTCTGTACAACTTTTGCATAAACCCACAAGGCCAGCAGACATTTTTCTATAATTCAAAATTAGCATATTACTGTGTGACAATGTTATTAATTTCACATCATTGCATTTATAAAAGTTGACAGCAGCTTCCGTTCGACTGAATACGATTCTAATTACGCAAACCACAATCCATGTGTTAAGTAAATCCAACAAAGCAACAAAGACATAGAGTCGACAATCGAGTACCCTGTTTGCCAAATGTGTTGCCTACTTAAGAGCGTCTTTACAAAATTTCAGGATCCAAAAATAATACCTGTTCGAGACATTTATTTTTAAGTTATGACGCGAGAACGATAACTGTATAAAATTAGAAAAAAATTGGAAAAGAGGAAAACTAGAAATCCCGGTCGTGTTAAAGGAATAAGGGTTTTGAGCAAAAATACCCTTATTTTTTAGGGTTTTTCAATCGTAACTTGACCAAATCAAGGCCCATAGCTAAAAGATCGACAGTTTTGAACAGCTTACGACCTATACTAACGAATCCCATCACTTTCAGGGAAATTTATTTTTTGATAAATTTTCGCATTTTTGATAAGGGGTAACATCACAATTTTTTGTAAAAAACGCCAAAATTTGAAAATTTCTAGGTTTGAATGCCAATCGATTGGGAGTTTAATTACGAACTCATCGAGGTACGACACTCCATATTTGGATCATTATTTCAATTTTAACGGCCAAAAAACTGATATTTTAGGGTGGAAAATATGGATTTCAATTTTCGACGAAAATAATCATTTTTTTTAATGGTTTTTTAGTCGTAGCTTGGACAATTTAAGTCCTACAGCTAAAATACCGACTGTTTTGAACAGCTTACGACCTATACTAACGAATCTTATCACTTTCAGGGAAATTTATTTTTTGATAAATTTTCGCATTTTTTTCACAATTTTTTGTGAAAAACGACAAAATTTAAAAATTTCTACACACAAAAAAAAAACTAAAATCAACTGTAATAATTGTCAAACAGGCCCCAACCAGCAAAATTGTCAATTCTACTAAGTAAATAGTCATTTCACAACAACAAAATACACACAATTAGCAAAGACACAAACCCAAAGCAAAAACAAAATACACGTAACTATTTTAATAGTTACGTAACTATCTTTGTTGGTCAATTTTACCAAGCAAATTTTTTTGTGTGTAGGTTTGAATGCCAATCGATTAGGAATCAAATAACGAGTACAACGAGGTACGACATTCCATATTTAGACCCAATTTGGCACCATTTTGACTAAAAAACTGCCTTATTTAGTCCAAAATCGTGGGCGCCACATACTTTTGCAATTTGTGAGCGAAAAACAGGGGTTCGTCATGAATATATGTACTTCAGAGGATCGACAATCTTTAGTCCAAGCTCTAATGCTCGTATACCCAATAAATAACCGAATTCCCAGGGTAAAATGCCACTGCATTAACGTACTTTGGGACATGTCAAATACTGCGCGCTATCTGCCCTTAATCAAATCATAAATCCGCGCTTACGGTGTAATTCAATTACAGTTCATTACAATTATTTCACAATAAATTATTACCAATGACTGAGTCCGGTTTTTCCACATGCACATGCAGCACCACGCCCACTCCACCATTTTCACAGGGCCACGATGATTGGGTGCACTTTCGAGTAATCCTGCTGGAGGCTGCGTGGGTGGTGAATACTGAATACTGAATACCCAGGGAGAATGAATGATTCGCATTTAATTTGATTTAACGAAAAATATATGAAATGCACTCGGAACCTAATTGATACTAATGCGGAAGGACAACAATTTTTTCGCAGCCCATAATTGGATGGTTTTTACTTTTGGGCAGTGAGAAACTGAAGGTTCAGTGGGATAAGGAGTATTTAATTGGATTTTACGACATGCTAATATGGTTGGACAATACCTGCGTGTTTTATAGATGAATGGTTTTGAATCCTAAAGCTGTGATGCACTTTCTCCAAGCGATCCTGGATTGCCTTCTGTGGGAATATGTCAATGGATGGCTTATCCTCCTGGCCACCGACCTCCGGCAGTTTCATCATGTCCATGTAAAGCGGCTGCCAGGTGCTCTCCGCCTCCAAGAATCCCATCTATTTCACCAGAAACTAAAGTAAACTGCGCACCAGGCGCTTTCCAACGATCTTCACCAGCGCAAACACTTTGGAATCCGGCTCTTTGGCGGTTGCGGAGGTAGAGGGGGTTGCGGAGTCACAGGGCTTTTCCGGCTATCCATTAGACATGGTTTTGTTTTCCAAATTTTACAAAAAGAAACAGAGTGGCACGAAAAAAACACGCGGAAAATGAGAAAGGAACAAAACATGGCGGCAAGCTTCGGGGCTGCCAACTCGTATCAATTAACAGCAATTAGGGTTATTCCAGTGTAAAAGAACTGTTATTTTTTGGGGTTTAACAGTTATTTCTTGACATTTTTGATAAAATTAAATAATACAAAAAAACATGCTTACCGTGTTTTATATAACTTAATAAAAATCGTTTAAAAAGCCTACAATTTTCGAGTTTTATTTTTGCGCAAGTGAATAAGTGATATTTTTCACCTTTTATTATAAAACTGAAAAAATACGAGTTCTACTTTGAGTTTTACTTTACAAATCGGAAAATAACTGTTAATTTGTGATTTTTAAATTAGAACTCATAACAGTTATGGTCTTTAATTTTATTATATCAATGTTACGTAAAAAACGTTCATTTTTGAAAAATGGTACAAATTTACCTTTTTTTGTGAGCATTAAAATCGGGCAATAGGCATTTAAAACTTCGTTTTTCCGGTGTTGAATTAAATTTAAGTTTAAGGAGTTCAATGCCCACATTAGAAACGGTGGAATCTGGCTAGCCAGCCCTGGTTCACAGTTCCCTGCACTTAAAAGCGAGTTGGCAGCCCCCATTCTGAGCTTGCCGCCATTTTCCATTTGGTTTTCCGGCGTGACATCGCTCATTTTTCCCCGTGCTTTTTGTGTGCTGCGTCTCGTTTGCTGAAAAACTAAAGTAATGTCTCAAGCACCGAGTGATCCCGACTCCGCAGGCGGAGGGGCTGAGCCCATCGAGGATCAGAGCGATGCTCAGAGTGGCGAGTACGAGGTGGAGAATTTCCTTTCCCACAACTACCTGCGCGGTCGCAAACAATTTCTGGTGAAATGGAAGGGTTATCCGGCGGATCAGGCCACCTGGGTTCCCATGGAGGATCTGAAGAACTGCCTTGCCACGCTGGCCGACTACGAAGAGGAGATCCTCGTGATGACCCTCCTGAAGGAGACCCACGAGGCGAAGTTGTTAGCGAAGAAGTTAAAGGAGCAGGAGGAGCGTTACCGCAGATCCTTGACCGTTCCCACCTATGTTATGTTCAAAGGGAGGAAGTGTACGCCAGTTTTTTTCGAGCAGGAAGACTTCCTGGGGTTCCACCCCCTACCAACTATAGATCTCACCGGCGACGATCCCAGAGATCATGAAATGGAAGGTGCCTCCATCAGCTCGGGGACCCACAGTGATGAATCTTCGCAGGAAGGATCCACCAAACAGGTTTCACCAACTGTTGCGATTGCTAGTGGTGGAAAGGACCAGGAGCAAGGGGTTCTAGATGGCCAGGAATACGGGGCAGCATCGCTTCCTTCATTGGATGCTGGAGAAACTGAGCCGGTGACCATTGCTTCACCAATGGAGATCGACGAAGAAGCCTCTGATGAGGAAACCAAACAGGTTTCACCAACTGCTGCGATTGCTAGTGGTGGAAAGAACCAGGAGCCGGAGATTCTAGATGGCCAGGAATCCGGAGCAGCATCGCTTCCTTCATTGGATGCTGAAGAAACTGAGTCGGTGACCATTGCTACACCAATGGAGCTCGACGAAGAATCCTCCTCCGACGAAGAATCCTCCTCCGACGAAGATTCCTCCTCCGACGAAGAATCCTCCTCCGACGAAGAATCCTCCTCCGACGAAAAATCCTCCTCCGACGAAGAATCCTCTGAGGAGGAAGAATCCTCTAAGGAGGAGGAGGCGGAATCCAGCTCTTTTCTAACCGTGAGCCAGATAAACACCCAGCTTAAACTGGACGAGCTGCTTGCCGACTTGGAGCGCACCATCGGTGAGAACACACTTTACCCAGAAGAAAAGAAGGGACTTGGATGGAAAATGCCGCAGATGACAAAACCCTGCGGCGTAGAACGCGGTCTGCAGTTGAAGAAGATTCACCATTGCTTCAAGGCTCGCGGGCATCTCTTCTTTTGCGTCAAATGGAAGGGATGTCCCACCATGGACTCGGTGACTCTGCCGTCCATCAAGTATTTGTACCCGATGCACATTATCCAGTTCCTTGAGACACTGAAGCGTGGCTAAAACGGCCAGCTTAGTGCCCAAAAATTCGGATACTAGTATTAAGAAATTCTAAAAGAAACTTTAAAAGAGGCAGAAAAATCAGAAAAAAACCAAAGTCATCAATATTTTTTTTTATATAACGTAATTTTTTTATAGTTGTCTATTTCATGTATTTTTCGTTTGAACAAAAATTGTATTCTTGACAACGATTTATATTACAGAAAAACCTAAATCCGCACTTTCATGTTTAAAAATAATATGTAGTGATCTTTACTCTGATAACGTAAAAACTCGAAAAGTATTAATCAAACTATATGTTTTGAAATTTTTTAAAGACACTCTTGATTTGTATTTTTACCTGTAAAGGTATAAAAAACTTGGTCGTTTATTTGAAAAAAAAAAAAAAAAAAATAGGCACTCGATCTATTTGTTTAGTCAAAGAGCTGCAGCTCATCCAAACGCTTGAGGGTGCATTTTAGGCTCTCCAGCGTCCGAGTGTTTCCCTCGAACATCAGCTGCACCTTCTGCCTGGCGAATGTCTCGTCGTGGAAGTTCTTCAGCGAGTTATCCTCGGAGTCCACGCCGATCATGCTCATCAGCGGAAAGAAGCCGAAGGCCACAAAGAAGCCGTAGGCCTCGCGCTTCCTGATCTCTTCCAGGACCTCCTCGTGGCTGGGCAGTGGCTTCGACCACGGCAGCTGCTTCAAAGTGTCCACCAGCACCTGGTAGTATATCTCGATTAGCTCCTGCCGCCGGTCACGCAGCACCTCCAGCTCCAAACTGGTGTTCAAAAAGTAGTTTATGTCGAAGCCCAGGCTGCCGTAGAAGCACAGCTGGAAGTCAATCTGCATGTGGTAGCTAAGATTAGCTCTTTTGATTATAATACAAAAATGTAACAAAATCAAGTGCAAATTCTTCAGAACAAGAAGACCATAGGTATTTGAGTTCTTCAACAAAATGAGAACGCGAATTCTTGAGAGTAAGAAAAACTGATATTTACCACACTGACATTTTTAAAAGGTTTCATAATATAAACTCACAGATTGATATATGAATAAAAAAAAATACAGCAAATTCTTTAGAACATTTAAAACCATAGGTACATGAATTCTTCAGCAAAATGAGAACAAGAATACCTCAAATTTACCACTCACATTTTTGAGAGCTTTCATGATATAAAGCTAAAGATTTATTCATGATTAAAACAAGAACGCGAATTCTTTAGAATATAATCTTTTTTTTTTTTGCTTGAATAATATCAAATTTATATTAAGATTACTTACGATTTTCACCTGCTGCACCTTGTAGTTCGGATCGTACTTGAAGAATATGTTGTTCACCCAAAGGTCCCCGTGATTGAGGACATTGTGCTGGCCGCGAAGCGGGTAGACCGCCTTGAGCACGCGCTCGGTGAAGTGTTCGTGGTAGCGATAGAGCTTCGTGGTTATCCCGCCGAATCCCTCGCAGTCGCCCACCAGGGCGGCCAGCTTCAGCAGCTGAGTGCCGAAGAGCAGCTTGAAGGGCTCCGACTTGATGGCGTCCATGTGGAGCAGGCCGAAGGGATACCGATCAACGATCGTCTCCGGCTCCCGTTCGCCCATCACCATGGTGCCTGCATGGTATTCGGCCAGTTTGCGCATGACCAGCGCCGAGTGCTCGAAGTCCAGGCCCAACTGGCGGCACTTCAGCTGGTAGCCCCGGGAGCACAGGTCCTCGAAGATGATCGTCTGCTCCGGCTGGGTGGTGGAGTAGTAGTGTCTAGTGGTTAGGATAGATGGGGTAATCATTACTGTGAGAATTGAATTGAATGCTACACAAAAATTCAAATGAATGATTTAAGAAATACATTTTAAAATATTTGAATTAAAGCAGAAAAAAATTTATATTTTTGAGAACATTTAAATGTAAATAACCGTTGCTTTTGTTCTCAAGAATTCGCGTTCTCATTTTGCTGAAGAATTCACGTAGCTATGGTTTTAAATGTTCTCAAGAATTTTTTAAAGAACTTCATTATTAAAATAAAGGGCTAAGATGCATAAAAAAAACTATAATTTTTAAATAAATTTAAATTAGGTTAAATAAATTTAAATTGTTAACCCACTTGGCGCCCAAAGTCCAGGCATCCATCGAACTGCTGGCCCGCCACATCAGCGCCTCCAACTTGGGCTTGATGGTCGTGTAGAAGATGGTCTCCTTGTTGTAGATGTGCAGGCGCGCCAGGATGGCCTGCTTCTCGTCCGGCATGGACTTGACGATCAGGGACGTCTCCAGGACGCAGTTCTCCGCATTGCGATACCTGATCTGCGCCCGGTAGATGTTGCTGCAGTAGTTCTCCCCGCCGCGGGTCAAGTTGGTCAGCTGGACGCCCATCACCTGCAGCTCCAGCTGCTGCAATCCGTGCTCCAGGCTGCGACGGAAGAACTGGGGGGTCAGGTAAAGTGGCGGCTCCTCCACGGCGTCCGACATCGTAGATCAATGGAATGAGTTGCAATTGTGGCATCATCTCCCACACCGACGGCTTTTTATGCGAAATCTCGGAGAGCCAACCGCCTATTTGTCTTCTAATTGATCTTAATGGACAGGGCACGAATGGACCTTCCTCAATTGCCTTAATGGAAATGCATTTACATACCGCCGGATTAGCGGTTCGGAGATTGAACAACATAACCGATTTGCAGATGTCCCAGAGCAGGTGGCTTGGAAAGTATTTTTTTTAAATTTTATATATTTTTTTACCGCGTGAAAAGTGTGTCAAAAAAATAAATATTTAAATTTTAAAGGCTATAAGTATATCTCTTAGTTTTAATAATATCTAGTTGATGTTTGCCCAATAAAAATATAGCTTTTGAATTAAATTCAAAAAACGCAGAAGGTATTTAATAAAATACATTTTGAAATATTTGAATCAAGCTAGAAAATATTATGTATGTACGTTCAATTAAAACTTTGTAAAGAACTTCATATTAAAATCAAGAGATTAAAAAACTATAATTGTTAAATTAGATATTTCCATTTTTAAAAAAAATTAAAAACCGTAAAGAATGAAACTTCAAATTTCTGCCTACAACCCTAGTCAAAAGTATTTTCTCAAATTTGAATGTTAACTGTACTCATATTTTGAACTTATAATATAAACATTTTGGCACCTATGGAAAGAGCACTTCAATTCCGTTTAAATGACAAAAAAATGTTCTTAACCCATTAAGCACCCTTTGAAAACTGAATAAAAAAAATATTAACAGCTTAACATTCCCAACACAATCCTTAAATATAGTGCATAATAGCACCTCTTACTCTGTGAAATAATTGTTATTAACGCAACATTTATTAAAAAAGATATTTAATTAATGCTATAAATATATGTACGAGCGCGCAATTGATGTAATTTATTTAAAAGAGGAGTGTTTCGATTCCCTAAACATTATTTAAAACCGCATGCTACACTTATACGCTACTTTTCGTTATCTCTAGGGTGGAGGGCGTTGGTATCGTTGGCGCCGTGCTGGCCAAACTCCGGCTGGGCATGATTCCCGGTGCACCCGCACCCGTTTTGGATCGCTTGGGCAGGGTGGCGGCTCGCAAGTAGGGATTATCTATATTGGGGTTCTCCAAAATGGCCTTGTTCGTGGTGGAATTCGGTTTGATCTCCAGCTCGGGCTTCTCCTCCTTCGACTTGTCGCCGTCCATCTCCTCGTTCTCGCTGTCGCCCTCCTCGCCGTCCTCTGAAAATATAAATAAATTGATTGTGGATTTAGGTATTTTATTATTTATACGAAAAAACTTACCTTTGCTGGGCACATCCTCTGTGCGATTGGCCACCAAATAGTGATACTCCAGCTCCTCGAAGTCAAAGACCTGGTCTGTGGGATTCAAAGCGGCTGCATATGGAGGAAAGGCCGGCTTGCAGGCAATCACTGGGTGAAATAATATAGATATTTAATAGGAAACTAAGGAGTAACAATCTCATCTTACAGGGAAACATGTTGTCCTCGGTGGGAAAGAGATTGTTCGTCTCGGTGGTCTTGCAGAGGAACTTCGTGAGCGCCTTCTCGATGTCCCGCTTCTGGCAGGCGGCCTTCTCCCTGATGGCCTCGTACTCCGTCACCGGCTGCTTGTGCGTGGGCGTCCGGATGTAGGCATGTGGATCGGGCATTGCCGGGAAGTAGCTGGGCACATAGTGCGGATGCGAGGACTTGCTGCCCGCCTGGAGCAGGCTCAGTTGTCGCTGCTGCGTCTGCTGCGGCGGCAGCGGAATGGGCACATGCGTCTCCTTGCGCATGTAGGGATCCAAACTGGAGATCGAGATGCCCATGTTGATCAGCGCCAAACTGACGTCGCCCACGGTGGGCATGGTGCGTCCGCTGAGCTCGCAGTAGTTGTGCGCCGAATTGCCAATCTCGCCGATCACTAAGGGGGATATATAATTAATTCCGGGTTATGGATTTATCCTAAAAAGATTTACTTACGCGCCTGCAGCATCTGGGTGAGCGTCTCCAGGCACTGGTTGCTCGCCTGCCCGGCGCCCTTGTCCACCAGCAGCTGGGACACCGCCTTGTTCAGCAGCCGCCGATACGCATCCACATGGGGCACCGTCACCGCCTCCACCTTCTCCATTCGGATCAGTCTTAATTTAACTTATTTGTTTACGTTGAAAAAAAATAAAGACAAAATTCAATTATTTTCGCCGCTCAGTGCTGCCAGATCAGAGATGGAATCGCCTATCACGGTTATCGATAGTCGGCAAGCGATAGTTGACGTGATTTCATTTCCATAAAAACTAGCTAGAAAACTTGATGAATTATTTTAACATCTTGTATCCTATTAAAAATTATATGCTACAAATTTTGCAATAGCTTTTAATAAAATTAAAGCTTAAAAAAGTGTTGAGAAATATTTATGTATTACTTCCGTGACTTTGAACGTACTCTAGAGTAAGCATTAATTTGTAGGATGAAAATAAATAAGATTACAAATTGATGGTCTCTGAAAATATTCCATTTTAAGACTAAATATTCGAAATAAACTTTTTTTTTAGAAATATATCTTCAAGGCAATTAAATATTAATTATGTGCAGTTCCAAGAACTGTTAATTTTTTTGGAAAGCCAAGTACTCACAATATTCCCTACTAGATTTATGCATATTTTTATTACGTCATAAAAAGAAAGCCTATCGATAGGCGGCAATCGATGTTTAGAAGAGCAGGACAATCGCCGTTGCACCATCTCAATTAAATCAGTGTATTTTTTTTTGTTGTTTGCCAAACAATAGGAGACGACGTACTCGCAGCGTTAATTGTTCTTTTAAATGAAGTTGAGAATCGCCGGCCTGCCAAGTGCGATCGCATAATCGTCGAGCATCGAGGGAAGTGAACTCGGGCCCCCGCGGAGTCATAGGTGCCCGGAATCGTAATCGGAACCCGAATCGCTCCATCGGGAATTATTAATTGTGTACGTGCGTATGTGTGAGTGGATGGGGATGCTGTGTTTGTGTTGACTAATGTTTTTCCTTGTGGCGGAGGGGCAGGGGGAAAGGAGGGGGAGAAATCTCTATATTTCTTGGCAATTTACACTTATAATTGGAATCGTGTGCGGTATGTTTTCGAGCGGTTTCCTATGGTGTCTATTTTTAAGCCAAAAGTGCTCCACTTTGGTTATCAGCCGGAGTTTCCCCACTTCCCCAGACATATATACACACGCACATACATACATACCTCTCGTAATCCCCCCTTTTCTTTGTCTGCGCGCCAAAGAGTTTTTCTTTCGAAACCTTAGAAAGTATGTGCACAGGAAAAAAACTAGATCTTAATTAATGATCGATCATCGATGGGATATTAGTTACGCAAGATATACTTAGCATTTATAATACCACTTTAATTAACCATATTACTATAAATATTCTTGTTATTATATCTCACAGAGAACATAATAGATCAATTATTAATGGTATCTCCCATTATAGGGAATACCATTACGTTATATAACATCACTTTGAAGCTTTTCCTTAAAATAATCTTATTTTTTAGTTTTCTAAATATTTTGATTCTACTACAATATCTCTATTCCTTAAAATAATCTTATTTTTTTAGTTCGATATATAATTATAATCTACTATAATATCTTTGAAAAAAAGCCCCATTTTTCCAGTGCTGTGGATACTGCTACTTTAGCTTTTCTTATATGGTTATTCCTTTGTCTGTTGTTTATTTTGATTTCTTGTAAACGGGGTTTTATTGCATTTTGCATTTGGTTTTTGCAGTTTCTGGATGACTCAGAGCTGCCGGCCCTCACCTTGCCGGGTTTATCTTATCAGTAATTAAATATAGAGCATATTGACAGTCCGGGGAAATTGAAAATAAAATAAAAAAAGAGAGTCATCTCCCCCAAATGGGATTTTAAAGTGCGCACTCGATGGTGTTTACTTTATTTCCTATTTTCCGCTGACCCCGCAGCTCCACCGATTTGAATATGTGAGTGGCTATATTGGCTAAAGAGAAACTCGGACCTGGCCCTGGTGGGGCGACCTACAAAAGAATGCCATGCAAAAAACCCAGCAGCAAGATCATGAATCACTTGCGTGGGGCGGGAAAAAGCACCAACAGCTCAGAGATTTAACACGGTATTAGGGCTACCATGTGTTAGATATACTATATAGTGGGTTCTTTAATTTTAAACTGTTGATTTTATTTTTGTATTTGTGCGACTAGGATTAAGATTAGTTAGCAACAGTCTTATCTTCGTTTAAGTTTTATTACATTTAAATAGGTCAAAACTAGAATTTTATATAAATACATTCTTTTTTAATTTAATAAACATCCATTTTTTTAATAAATTAAAATGAATAAAAATAATTAAATTAATAATATAATAAAATTAAATGAAATCAAATATTCCGAAAATATAATATAGTATTTATTAACATCTTAAACATTATTTACATACATACTTACCCATTTATAGCTTACTAATAATAATTTATTGATAATTTAATAAAATTAAGTTAAACTAAAAATTTCAAAAGAAGAATATAGTATTTATTAACATCTAAAATATTTTTCACACACATATTTACCCATTTATAGCTTACTAATAATAATTTATTATTCATTTAGTAAAATTAAGTTAAACCAAATATTCCAAAAAAAAGAATATAGTATTTGTTAAAATCTAAAATATTTTTAACACACATAATTACCCATTTATAGCTTACTAATAATAATTAATTAATAATTTAATAAGATTAAGTTAAACAAAATATTCCAAAAATATAATTATAAATTATTTTTCACACACATATTCACCCATTTATAGCTTACTAATGAGATAGTACACCGATAATTTCAGGTATTTTACGCATTTAACCTCACCTATCACTAGCTTTACGGGCCATAAGTCAGAGTTTTTTATCGCCAACTGATTTACTAAATAATTTATAAACTCTGTGCTTTCTTCTCTTCAGGAAACTGAGCGATGAACAAGGTGGGCAAGCACATCCAAAGCGGCATCTCGGGGGCTCCGCCGCCGCCGCTGTCCACGGCATCTCTACTTGGATCTCCGATGGAGGCGGCGGCCAATGGAGGCGCCATGGCCAGCAGCACAAATGTGTTCAATTCCATCATGAGCTTCCTGCCGGACAACCGGCCCATCACGTCGCTGCACATCGTCGAGGATTTCGAGCGGTTAGTGTGGTGGAACCTCATCCAGATTTAATTCCCTAACAAAACTGGTCATCTTTCGTTTAGTTGCCCGAAGAACTTCAGTGCCATCAACCGCACCTACGACCAGGATTCGGATGCGGACCTGTGGCGCGACTTTAGTTTGTTTGGGCGACAGAATACCAGGTATCTCTGCCTTTCCAAGTCCGAAGGATTGCCGGAATATGTGGTGGAGACCCTACAGTGAGCACAGATTATTCTCCTTGTAGCCTTTAACTAATCCTTTTTATTCTTTTTAATTTACAGAGTAATTGCTGATAAGACGGCACCGCCCAAGGAATTCTCACAGGTCTCGCGCACCGCCGACAGCGATCAGAAGGCCTGGCGCAAACGGCAGGTGATCTACAAGCTGTCCAAGCGCGGCACTGTCACCCAGGCGGTCACCGACATAATACTCTGCTCCAAGCTAAAGACAGCGCCCGATGGCTTTAAGTTGGCCGGCGATATTAACGGGGTGCTGATCTGCTACAAAACGAGCGCCATCCCGGTGCGCCTTTCGCCACCAGTTCCCGGCACCTGTGAGGTCGAACAGGCCCTCAACCGGCTCAATCTCCAGGGGCAGCGCAACTCACGCGGACCAGTAAGTGTGCAGCTGGCCTAGAAATCAGGGACCGTAAATACTGATTATCGATGTATTTTGCAAACAAAAAAATCATCCACTTTGAAAAGTTTGTTCATACAAACGAATTATACCAATCGGTTACTATTTGTATGCTCTATCTATATCCGCAATGATTTTTTACTTCTTGACTTTTATACATTTTAATCCATTTTAATAATTATTTGTTGAGTTTTTTTCAATCGCTCAAAGAATATCGATCAAAAAATAATCATAATCTTCCATATATATAAGCAATTATTTTTTAAACTTTTTTTCAAATCTAAAAATTTGGTTTTTTGTGTCAAGGTTTACAAAGATACCTCTGAGCAAGAAGATATCGTACTTATTTTTCATTATTTCATCATTATTTTTTGATCGATATTTTTTTCGTTCACAATTATAATAAATATTCTTTGAGCGATTGAAAAAAGCTCAACAAGTAATTAAAATTGAGTAAAATTTATAAAAATCAATAAATAATCAATAAATATTTATTTTTATTACGGTCCCTGCTCGAAATACCTCATTATGAAGCTAATGCCTGGTTAAATCTTACAAAACAGCTGCCACAGCCACCGACTGAACACCATGACTACGAGGAGATCCAGGCCAACTATCAAATAAACTCGCCACAGCGACCGGCGCCGCCTCGTCCAGCGGGAGCGGGAGTTCCAGTCGGAGGAGGAGGAGGACGTGGTACTTACGGCGGCACCGGAACCCTGGGCACCTACACCGAACTGGAGGGAGTGCCCTTCGTCATGGACGTTAGGCTGCAGCGCAACCAAGCTGTAACTGATGTGAGTGATGCGCCCTCTCGCTCGGATTCAATTCAATTCAATTTCTGAATATATACTATATATCTTTGCCTATTAGATACCTGTACTGCCAGAAATCTCCACGCTACTCAAGTCTTTGGACTATGATTTTCAATTGGAACGCCAGATCTTGTGCACCATGAAGTCATCGGCTTCGAAGAACCCGTTCTTCAAATAGAATTGCAAAGCTTCATTAGGAAAACGCGCGTCACAAATTGAGAGAGAAATGAGTGGATGTTGATGTGGATTTTATATACTTAGTTTAGCGTAAGCTTGATCATGATAATCCCCAGTAGCTATTCAGTTAAATGTGTGTGTAATATTCCTGTGCCTTCGATATGTATCTAATTTTCATAATACAACTCTGTTTTGTAAAACCCCTCATTGGAAAGCAAACCGAAGTAGGATTCTACTACCTATTTACATTTACATCATAGAAACTAGAAACCATTCATATACATGCATCGATTAATCCCGAATTGTGATTATTTTAGAAGCGCTAATCCAGATGGCCCACGCATAAGATATGCATCTAATGTTAATGTTGAATCAAGTCTAGAATCGCCAACACCGAACCTAATATAAACCTAGTACATACGAGCATATATCTGATATATATTATATACGTTTATAGGCCACTTAGCACTTAAAACCAGTTGGTTTTTAAACAAAACTCTATATCTATTACATATTAGCCCTAGTGACGATTAGACTGTCTTGCGAAATCATAGATTCTTCCCAACTGCCTCCGTCCCTTTACCTTTTACCTATTACCCCGCATTCCCCATTGGCCCCCTGAAAAAGGAAAAACAAAAAACCAACCCCACCATGTTATATAGCAGTTCAAATACAAGAAAAATATATATACGCCCGTGAAAATCAAATATTATTGTTGTCTTTCGATGATTCAGTGGGTGTTCTTCCGAGTCTGGGAATATTTTCAGAGAATTAGTCATAAAGTCATGATTGAAATTCATAAATATTTCACTTATACACTCTATGAAGGTGAAAACCTTTTAGTTTATTTAACATAAGTACAAAAGTATGTTTATAAAGTTAGGATGTAAAAAAAATCAATAAGAAATATGTCATTCAATATGTACAGTGCTCTCTCTGGCCTGAAGGATCAGTAGATCCACATGGCATCGGGTCATCAGATCAGAATAGATTGTGGAAGAGCAAATCCGGCTGCGACAGAGTCTTCTTCAGGTTGCGCATGCTCAAACGGCGTCGATCGGCGGTGCATCTGTAGATGGGGGGATTGGAGTTGCAGGTACAGTGGGTTCAGGTTCAGGTTCAGGTTCGGGGTTCAGGATTCAGGATTACGTGTGGTTAGCAAAGTTTTCGAGGCAAACGGCACAAACTTTTTGGATGAGGCGCAAGCAGCTGGGATTCTTTGTTTGGGTTTTTTGGGGAAACGACGGAAAGTAGCGGCACCTTCACCAGGGAGACGGGAGCCCTCTCCTCCACCAGCTGACTTACTCGAATATGCGATTTTGGTACTCGATCATCAGCTTAACGCAGTCGGCCAGAGTTTCGCCCTCGCGGAGCAGCTGCTGTATGTCCTGCATGTGGACGCCCTGCGGCACCGTGTGGAAGATCGAGGGTGTCACCGATATGGACAGCGTCTCGGCGCTGATCTGCTGCAGCGGCACTTTGGTCAATCTGTGAGGATTAGGGAAAAGTTGAAATATGAGATATTAAATATAATATATGGCAGCTATTTCTAATATTTATTGGATTATTATTATTATTGTTCACCCCAAAAATGTCAAATTATTGCAAGGGATTTAAGTTCCTTCTTAAGAAACATGCCGAGATCAAATCGACATGCGCATAGTAAATTTCTGGTATTTAAAGTTTAAAGTTACTTGAGTGGGAGGGAGAAAAACATTCACAATTCGAGCATATCAAATTTATCATCGGTTCATATCACATTTCTTTATATTAAATTATTTTCATGGGCAATAATAAATTATGAGATATTATATATAATACATGGCAACTATTACTAATATTTATTGGATTATTATTATTGTTCAATGGAAACCCCAAAAATGTCCTATTATTACAATTATAATTTGTATACACAAAAAAACATGCCAGAATCAAATCAATATGCGGCATGGTAAATTTCTGGTATTTAAAGTTTAAAGTTACATGAGTGGGAGGGAGAGCACATCAAATTGATCATACTTTCATATCAAAACGATTTTTCAAAATTATTTCAATGGGCAATGATGAAGAACTTATTAGTAATTACATTTCGAAATTCACAAAAAAGCATGAGTCAAACGAAATATTCTGGAAAAAACAAATATAAAGTCTTGTGACAGGGAAGTTCCGTATGTGGAATGAAAATAAAATCCATTCAGCACATTGTAGTGCTGATATAAAGACTCTTAATCGCTGCTCGGGCTGAATGGGAGCCACTCACCTATTGAAGTGCCCGAAGATATAGTCCATGGTGTCGCGGTTGCTCTCCGGCAGCGAGCGTATCAGTCTTTTGAGGGTCTCCAGCTTGGCGGAAAGATCGGTGAGCACTGTGGATGGAAAGGGAAGGATTAATTCCAGAGATTACAGCTGATTCTTGACCTGAACTTACACCACTGATTGGGCGGTCCAATGAAGGTCTTGGCCTCGTTGACGCTGACCAGCGGACTCTTGATTTCGCGCAGGAATAGCTTTAGCACCCCGGTCAGCGTGTGTATATCGACGTCCGGCTGACGCAGTGCATCATAATCATTTGCATCGATGCTGAAGCGCAGCGTTTGGATCTTATTGTAGTCGCCGCACTGCCTGTAGATGCCCTCGATGGGCTGCGTGGAGCGGCGGTACTTCTGCTCGATGAGATCACAGCAATCGATCACAATTCGCGGGACATTGCGGTGCTGGTCGTGCTTCAAGACCATCTCCAGTTCCGTATCGAAGCAGGGCTCGTCGAAGAAGATGCGCTGCTCCCGCAGCGTTTCCACGCTCGGTCGGCTCTTGAACCAGTTGGACAGATTCATCCAGGCCACCAGTCGCGAGGGTCGCACATTGGGACTCCCGGCGGCAGGGGGATATGCCCGCTTGCCAGCTAATCCCAAGGAGCGTGGTTTCTCCTTGTCTCTGTCTCGTTCCTGTAGTAATTCATTCAACTGACGACTCATCTCGCCCACCTTCTGCTCCAATTCCTGGCCGTAGGTCGTCTGGACGAGCAGATCCTGCTCCAGCGTGTGCATGCGCTGCTTGAGCTCATGCCATCGCCTCGAGCAGCTGCTGCAGCACTCCGTCCTGCTTTTCGTTGATCTGCCCGGGCTGCCGGCGGAGCTGGAATTCGAGGAGCAGACATCCAGGCTGGTGTTCGAAACCAAAACGGCTGTGTTGGTGGCATCATCGAGGTAGAGGCGCGTCAGATCCCTCGAGCTGCTGCTCTTGAGCAGGGCCAGCTTGTTGGGTTTGCTCTTGAGCTCCCGCAGGAGAACAACAGCCTCGGGTCGACCGGAATCCCTATCCAGTTGGCAATTGGAGCCGCCGCCGCCGCCGTTGCCCTCCAGGCGAAACAGGCTGCTGTGGCCGCGCTGCTGCTGCGACGTGGACGACGACGTGGTCGTGGAGCGATCGCGGAAGCAATTCATCAGGCTCTTTCCCGTCTGCCGTCTCTCGTGGGCCACGAATCCCGCCGCGCCGATCACGATGTGTGCCGAGTCTGGAGTGCCAGGCGTAACTGGCCGCTGACTTGTCGTCGTCTGCATGATGCCTTCTTTTGGGGAGGGGGGGAATCGCTTATCGTTGGGGTTTCCTCTTTAGTTTCTTCTCGGTTCGCTGCTTATCGCTTCTGCCCGCCAAAGGGTGAGGCAGCTGACCAGTTGCTCCTCCTCCTCCTCCGCTTCCTCCTCCTGCTGCTCTTCTGGTGGCAAGTGACGTCAGTGTAAGAAACAATCGTGGGTATAATTAGTTTATGACTATTGGGTTTAAGTAAAGTGATAGCAAAGACAGTGGGAAATATATGAATATTACATATAGAAACAAGAGTAGCTCGACTATCAGATACCCGTTACTCAGCCAAAGGAAGTGTGAGAAAAAAAAAACTGCTTGCACTGCTTGAATTTCACTATTTGATTTGCTTATAACTTTTTAATGAATAGTCCTTATTAGAAAACTTTAATGATGTGGCCGCTTTACTCTAGGGTAACGGGTATAGATATAGAAAGTCGAAGTACGTAGTACGTAGATGGAGAAATGCTTGCAGTAAAGTTAAAAAAAAAAACTGCTTGCACTGCTTGAATTTCAATATTTGCTTTGATCAGAACTTTTTAATGAATCGTCCGATTTGAAAAATTTCTTCTGCATTTTAATAGGTATTAATAAGAGCAACACGCTACGATTAACGGCTATATATATAAATAGTCGTAGTACAACACCCACCTCTTCCGCCTTTCAAGAGCCGATTTCCGTTGCGACTGATAATTGTGTTGCCCCGAGAACTTGCAACATCGATCACTTCTTGGGCTTCCGATTATGCAGACCTATTTCCTTGATGACGCAGTATCAGCGGCTCGATTGCCGGTCGGTCATGGATAGTGGATAATTCGCAGGCAGCTCCGATTTCAACTGACTGCCTGCGCCGTTGAGCGGTTGGAATTCTGTGGGCATTCTGCGGGCGCTTATCGCACTTCCAATTGTTCCACAGTCGCAGTCGCAGCCACTCCGACACTCGCGATAAGATAACCACGGGGGAAACAGAACAGAGCCAAACAAATGCCAAAGTGCTGGGCACGAATATAAATAAATAAAGTTACTGAATTGACGATAATGTGTGAAATGCCAGGGAGGAGTTCCCATCTTCCTTTGGAACGCACTTTAATATCACTCTGCCTTGGCTTCTGTTTGGACTTTGGCTATTTCTGGGTAACTGGAGCAAATCAGGGCCTTGACCAGGCGAACAAATGGGGATTTAAGAACATGACTTATCGGCAGTGATGGGAAGGGAGGGCTATTTTCTATATCCGTTCAAAAAAATGTTACTATTATGGAAATTATAAAGAAAAAGGGATAGTCTAAAGTAAATTTCCTGGAACAGTACAAAAAATCTAGAGATCTTGAGGTACAAAAAATATATTCCAAACTTTAAATCTTCAAAGATTAAGTCTAGAAGGGTAAATACTTCCGTAAGTCAAGGAAACAGTACAAATTATTGCTATAAAAAGGGAACTTTTGATTCGATTATTACAATGTTAGAAGTTGTGAAGTAAAAGGTATAATCTAAAGTAAATTCCCTGGAATATTACTACAAAATCTAGAGATCTTGAGGTACAAAAATATATTCCAAACTTTAAGTCTTCACTATGTCAAGGAAACAGTTCAAATTATTGCTATAAAAAGGGAACTTCCTATTCCAAATATAGATAAACCTACTTCCCATCAGCACCCATCATCATTTGATGCACCTCCAGCTCGACCTGCTCTTCACCCTTCCTCTTCATTCTCTCGTGCGACTTCATGTGTCCCCTGACTCCAGCGTACTGGGCGAATCCCTTGCCGCAGATCTTGCACGAGTACTTCTTGTGCTCCGCATGGATCTCCTTGTGCCGATTCAGGTACTTGGCGCTGGTGAACCGCTTGTGGCACACATCGCACTCCTTGTCGCGCACATTCAGATGGCCCTTGATGTGATCCCGCAGGGTGCTGCGTTCGAAGAAGCCCTTGCCGCAGATGTGGCACTTGGCCACTATCTGCTGTTCGTGCCGCCGCTTGTGGCGCTTGAAGAAGGAGACGGTGCTGAAGCGGCTTCCGCAGATGTGACAACAGTAGGGTCGTTCGCCGGTATGCGAACGCCGGTGGACCACCAGATCAGTGCTGGTGGCGAACCGCTTGCCGCACTCCTCGCAGCTCAAATGATAGTCCTGCGTATGCCGTCGCAAATGGGTGGTGACATTGGCCACCTTGGAGAAGCCCTTGCCGCAGGTGGGGCACTCAAATGGCAGCCTATCATCGTGTTTGGCCCGATGCATCCTAAACCCATCGACGCTGTTCACCTGCTCGCTGCACAAATCGCAGCGAAAGGGCGGCATGTGCTGCTCCAAAAACGACAGCTTCTCGTAGTATCGCGAGCGGGACTTAAATCGCTTGCCCTGCTGCTCGCTCTTCAGGCGACGCACCTTCTCCTGGTGGTAAACGTTGCGCAGCTGGCGAATGTAGCGCTGCAGCTGCGAGGGTTCCAGTGTAATCTGCATTTCCGAGCGGCACAACTCGAGCAGGCGATCCCGCGCCGCCTGACGCACTTGAGGGACGCGACAGGCGATGTCCAGCATGTCCCAGTGGGCGTGGCACTGGCGGTACAGCTCGATGAGCTGCAGGTTCTGGGCATGATTCAAATGGGGCACGGCCAGCAGCTCGGCGCCTTTTACCCGCATAGTTTGAGTCCTTGGACGCGGCAGGCTCTTCGCTAAGAATGCAAGCCGCTCGTAAAACCACTTCGGGGTGGCTCCACTGCCCTCCAGACGTAGATTCTCCTTGCAATACGTCTCCCTTAGCTGCTTGACATAACTGGCTATCTCCTGGCTTGCCAGTTCCAGTCCAAATTGGTTATTCAGGCCAGCGGCGATCTTGTCGCACGCCTTGCTGCGATGCCTGTAGTTGCGGTAGCTCAGCATTCCGGGGTCCCACAGCAGCGGCTGCTGCTCCAGTTGGTCAATAAAGGCCATCATGATGGGGTGCTGCTCCAGCAGCCAGAAGGGCGGAGTGTTTGCAGCGGGAGCAGCCTGGAAAAGCAGAATATATATATGATCTATGCCTCAAAACGATATCTCATTTTTATCACAATTATCATAGTTTTTTAAAATACATTAAAATATATTTTAAATTAAATTTCATTGTTATACGAAAACTGTTCGTCTAACATTATTTAAAGTATAAATTATGCAGTAAGTTATGGAGGTCCCATGACGAAACCTTTAGGGGCCAACAAGAATTATGTATTGTAAATTATACTATTTTTTTTATAAAGATTAGAAATGCCGATTTGCAGAAATCCGCGATTGAATTTTTTTTTTAAGTTTGGACTATATTTTGCACTGGAACCATTGTGGGTGTTATTTTTATCTGAAAGCTTGTCAAAAATTATAATTTTTGAGTATTTTTATTTATTTTTTACCCCACGTAATTTAAAGTTATAAATTATTTAAACAACAAAAAAGCGTCAAATGGATTTTTTTTGTTACCTTTTTAAAAATTTGTTTAAATGGTGTAATATCGTGATAAAAATGAGATATAAAAAGAATCACTCATATGGTAGGGAATATATATTAAGGAATAACCCACGGTTGACTGCTCGGATGTGAAGCTCTGGTTATCGCTTTCCGGCCACTCCTCCTCCTCCTGGAAATCCTGATCATTCTGCTGCTCCGCCGGCAAGAAATCCTCCCGTGTGTCCAGGGGATCCTCCTCCTCCTCCTGCTCCTCCTTGGGTGTGATCACAGCCTCCTGATTTCCGCTGCGCAAAAGTGGCTTAATGTCCTCCACTTCGTCATGATGGAACAAATCCTCCTCCTCCTTGGGCGTGATCACCACTGCCTCCTGATCTCCGGCAGCTGCTCCACTGCGCAGATTGCGCGTTCCATGCCGTAAAACGGGCTTAATGTCCTGCACTTGGTCATCGTGGAACAACTCCGGGTGCTGCGACTCCAGGTGCCGCTTGAAATCCTTGAATGTGCCCGTCCTGCTGTCCTGGCAGTAGATGCACTGGAAGGCGAAGGTGCGCGTCTGCCGCTTGAGCACCCAGACGATATCGCCGCATCGCTGATATGGCGGCATTATCTTCCGAAAAGCGATTTCCAAACGAATCGCTTCTTTTGTTTTGTTTACAATTGCAAACGGAACTGCCAACCTGCGTGAAATGTGTAGAGTGTGGAGTGCTTGGGGAAGGTTGGTCTTGGGATACCCTGTAAATTATATTTTAAAGGATATAAAAAAGGGGATTTTAAAACAAATAAAATGCATAATTAAATATTTTTAAATAGATTTTTTTACCTTATTTACATATACTAATATTGCTTGAGAAAAAAAAGGGGATTTTAAACAAATAATTTAGTGAGTTATCTTAAATTAAAACAAAACAAATGCATAATAAAATATTTTTAAAGAGATACATACACATCCTCTTTTTTAAATATAAAATTCCAGATCTCGTTAGTTGCTACAGTAACTAACTTTTTTGCTTCTCCACCTGTTGCAAATGAATCATCAAAACAATATACCCCTTGTTACCCCTTACCCCTAGCCAGGGCATAAAACCAGTGTTGCAAAGCGCCAAACAGACGGGCCTCCAAAATTTCAAATTTCACAAAGTTCCACTTGTTTAATAGCAACTATTACATAATTTCGGGACAGATAATAAAACTTTTCAGCTTAACCACTAGACAATAGATAAATGCAAACTGATCGAGCCACTTCCGGGTGTCCAGGATGTCCTCCCAAAGATCTAAGGCATCATGCGCAGGGCGCCGTCCAGGCGGATCACCTCGCCGTTGAGCAGCGGATTCTCGAAGATCGCCTGCACCAGGTGGGCGTACTCGCTGGGCTCGCCCAGGCGCTGCGGGAATGGTATGGACTTGGCCAGGAAGGTGCGCACCTTCTCCGGCAAAGCGGCCAACATGGGTGTATTAAATAAACCAGGAGCAATCGTGCAAATCCTGATGCCCTGGGTGCTCAAATCGCGGGCAATGGGCAGGGTCATGCCCACCACGGCCGCCTTGGAGGCGGAATAGGCTGCCTGGCCGATCTGCCCGTCGAAGGCCGCCACCGAGGCGGTGTTCACGATCACGCCGCGCTGTCCATCCTGATTCGGCTCGTTGGCGCCCATCAGACCGGCGGACAAGCGGATCACATTGAATGTGCCCACCGTATTGATGTTGATCACACGCTGGAAATCCTCCAATCTATGCGCCACATTCTTGTTGAAATTATAGGTCTTCACCGCCGTTGCTGTGCCGGCACAGTTCACCAAGAGATCCAGGCGACCGAACTTATCCTTGGCCGTCTGCAGGGCGGCACTCACATCCTTCTCGGAAGTGACGTCGACGGGCACGAAGACCACCTTGTCGCCCAGCTCCTGGGCCACCTCGTTGCCCTTGGAGGAGGGCAGATCGGCCAGGACCACGCTGGCTCCCTGCTTCGCCAGCCGCTCGACGGTGGCGCGACCCAGTCCAGAGGCTCCTCCGGTCACCAGCGAAACTGCGTTCTAATTGGGAAAAAAAAAAACATGGTGTTACTATCTGCGGGCTTTTATGGGTCTATAATTGAAGGTCTATCGGTTCTAGGGGTAATCTATATCAACTTGCAAACAAAAAGGATTATTGGGCATATAAAATCAAGAACAAAGGGCTTAGGAACTTTAATTTATGGTTTTTTCAGGGGTATTTATCTATTTCTATCTATTATAGTATTAAATAAATTAATACTTTTGAAAGACTGAGATCTTGAAATGAATATTTTCTTATATGATGATAATAATAGTTTAATATTATTTTATGATTTTTTCAAGGTTTTATAGGTTACTTATTAACAAGTTTATTAGTATTATTATTATTATAGTATCAAAATACAAATTATACAAACAAAAAGGATTATTAGGCATATAAAATCAAAAACAAAGGGCTTAGGAACTTTAATTTATGGTTTTTTTTTAAGGGTTTCTATCTATTTCTATCTATTATAGTTTTAAAGAAAATTATACCTTTGAAAGACTGAGATCTTGAAATGAATATTGTCTTATATGATGCTAAATACATAGTTTAAAATTATTTTCAATATGGAATCCCAACTGTAAATCTTCTATATATTTTACTAGATATCAAATATATTTTAAAACAAGAAATATTAATGAAATTCACAATTTTGTTATATTTTAACACAAATCTTCAAATCTCCCTTTAGTTTTATATGAAGATACATGTGTTAATATTATATTTAATATGGAAACCCAATATTTACAGTTAACTACATAGTATTTAGACCCCCAAGAGATGATCTACCCAACTAACGCCGGTTAATCGTTGTTTTTAGCTAGGCTAATGGAAGTGAGAAATCTGCGGAACGGAACTATCAGTTCGGATTCCAGATAAGCCCCCCATTATGTTGTTGTATAACTTGCCAAGAAGTAATGCTAATTGCTCGGCGGGTACAAGGTGCATTGCCTCGTACACAGATACGGTTATATACGGTTATTTATGGGCTCCCAGAGACACGAGTTCACATCCCCAGTGGACTTTGCACCCGGCCACCGGGTGTCGTCCCCCCTGTTTCCCGCTAATTTCCCGGTAATCTGTAGGCCTTATGATCGTGGTCCTTACTCACAGGCCCCCTTTACATACCTTGATCATTCTGCCGGTTGTGCTGTGTGTGTTGTGGGTGCGAAAGGCGGCGATTACTTAGTAGTCGGGGGAAAGCTTTAAACAAAAACTTGTTAAACAATTCGAAACCGGATTAGTGTGACCGCTCAGGAAATACCAGCATTTAGTATATATTAATATACTGATTAGGGGGATTCGTGACTAAAATAACTAGGGTACTCACATTGTTGAGCTCTTTTTAAGGCCTACAAATATGCATTAAAATTCTATATCAAAATAGGAGGTTTTTTTTTTGGTTTTTCGGTCGTAATTTCGACAAATCAACCCCCACAGCTAACAGAATGACTGTTTTGAACAGCTAACGACCTAAACTAACGATCCCCATCACTTTCTAGAAAATTTAATTTTTTGAGAATTTTTGCATTTTTGATAAGGGGTAACATCACAATTTTTTGTAAAAAACGACAAAATTTAAAAATTTCTAGGTTTAAATGCCAATTGATTAAGGATTAAATAACGAGTTCAACGAGGTACGACATTCCATATTTGGATGATTATTTCCGTTGTTATGGCCAAAATACTGATATTTTAGGGTTAAAAATAAGGACTCCAATTTTCGACGAAAATAACCTTTTTTGTATGGTTTTTTAGTCGCAGCTTTGACAATTTAAGGCCCACAGCTAAAAGACCGACAGTTTTGAACAGCTAACGACCTATACTAACAAATCCAATCACTTTCAGGGAAATTTATTTTTTTATAAATTTTCGCATTTTTGATAAGGGGTAACATCACAATTTTTTGCGAAATATGACAAAATTTAAAAATTTCTAGGTTTGAGTGCCAATCGATTAGGAATTAAATAACGAGTTCAACGGGGTACGACACTCCATATTTGGACCATTATTCCCATTGTTATGGCCAAAATACTGATATTTTAGGATGGAAATTGTATGGGAAATCAGCGTTTAAAACTTTTCTTAACTTAATTTTCAATTAATTAGTAGGCTGTAGACAGAAGTGTTCAGCAATGAAAAATATAATTAGTTTTTAGATCCTAAATATTTATCAAAGTGATAGCTAGAACACCCCAAATAAAACTGTAAACTTTTAAAAATCAACTATCGTGTCACGAACAAATTCGGTCCACCACTAAACCGATGGAAAGCAAGTGCAAACAGTAAAAAAAAGAAGAAAATCACAACAATAACAAACAATTAAATGGTTAAGAAAACAAAATGTCGATCAGTGGCGGAAATAAACAGAACGGACCGAACAAGCTAGCAAATGGTCGACTTCTGGACGAGGAGGAGCGGGAGCAACTGATTGGGAATCCGCGTGGTAAGCTTCCTTAGTCAGGGATTAATATTACTAGTTAATTTTAATATTTTACCTCTGATGCAGTTGCTCCTGGCAGCAGGCAACCAGCGCAGGATCGCCTCAAGCGGCTGCAGAGCAACCTGAAGCGGGTGCAGAACAAGAAGCTGCCCGTGAAGGCAACGCAGGCCAAGCGCCACGTGCCTTTTGTGCGTCCAAGAAGAGCAACTTCCTCCGTGGCCGCAGCCCAAGGATCACCGACTAATCCCGCCCAGAATTCGAATGCCTGGGAGAAGCCCAAGGCTCTGCTGGATGCCAGCAATCGGCTGAAGGCGGGCCCCACCGAAAGTGGTGGGTAATCCAAAGATTCTCTTAAGGATTTCCCTCCCTCATCTTCTTTTTTTCCTAGCCAACCAGCGGCTGACGCGCCTGAGGAGCTCCCTGCAGCAGGAGCGCAACAACAACGATGTGAGCAGGATAAACGAGGAGGATTCGAAGCAGCCAGAGCCCATGGAATGGGAGGAGGACTCCAAGGAGGAAACGAATGACATCCTGCTGATGCGCCAGGCCTCGCAGGATGAGGAGCTGCCCAAGCGCCTCACTGATCACATGTACTTTGTGCTCGACACCAACGTTCTCATGCACAACATCAAGTTCGTGGAGCAGCTAACCGATTTAATGCTTCCTGGCACCGTGGGCAGCATGCTGTACATTCCCTACATCGTCATCAAGGAGCTGGACAAGCTGAAGGGCCAGCATTACCACGCCAGCGAGGTTGCAGATCCCAAGCGACTGATTGCCGTGCGTGCCATACGCTATTTGAACACCAAATTCGATATGAGCCTGGAGATTCAAGCTCAATCGGCTGTCGAGGAGGCGGAGCATCTGATTGAGGTGGGCTGCCCGGACGACAGCATCGTGAATTGTTGCCTGCAGCTAAGGGATCAAGTGCCGCACATGCTGCTCCTCACCAACGATGCCAATCTCCGCCTGAAGGCGAATGCCTCCGGTATCCGCGTCTCCTGTTGCTCCGATCTGCGAGCCGATTATCCCGATGAGTTTGCCGCTTTGGGGGATTAACTTTAATACTTTATACTTGAATAAGTAGAGAAAAGACTGCGTTTGTGATATGGAATCCAGAGGAGGAGCAGGATCCACCAGTCAAGCCACTGCACCGCAGCACACATGAAGTACAATCACATCACATTTTACGAAGGCCACCGGCGATGTTCTTAGTTATAACTGCCTTTTGCTAACCCAGCAATAAAGTTTGTTCTCTTTTTTTTGGATAAATGTGGAGTGTATGTATTGGGATTAATCTTTTGTTTGGTTTTAATTAGCCGAGCTGCCGCCTTTGATTGCCGCTTATCGGTTGGGAAAACATCCGCTGAAGTTGGAGTGCAGTCCACTTGGCCAAACTGAATTCAAACTGAACTCAAAGCGCACGCAACGCTCGCCCAGTGCGGTGGTTCCTCTCCTCCAAACTCAAATTATATATAATTATAATTTACTCTCGACAAAGTGACAACTTTATTGCCGCGCCATAACTTAAGCTATACAAAGTGTACGTTTGGGAGTGTTAAATTTGTTAAATGAGGGGCTGCTTCAGTATTTATAGTGGTGAAAAAATGAAAAATGATAAAGCTTCGCAGAGGCGGTTAGCAGTTTTTAGATAATTCTCTATTTACAAGGCGAAAAGCAGCATGTAAAATGAGCAGGGTTCGGAAAAAAAGACACTCTGTAAAAAACTTGCGTTATTAACATGTTAAAGTGTTAAAATTGTCTGTAAAAAATTGTATTCTACATATGTTAGAAACATAAATAACACACACAGGTTATTTGTGTTATTTACACTACGTGTTTTTAACACAACGCGTTTTTAACACAATGCGTTTTTGACATTAAAACGTCAGAAATATATGTTGAACTGAAAAATTCACGGTTCTCTGTAGTTGAAAAAATGCATATATGCTTTGCAACGGTTAAAAGTAACTAATAAGATATTCTGGTTCAATATTGATTCTTCATTTTCCCTTCGCTTCGTTAATGTTCATAAAATGTAATTTTCATTTGTGCTAAAAACACAGTGTGTAAAAAACACGTCGTGTTAATTACACATTGTGTAAAAAACAATTATTTTTCACATTTTAACAGTTTTGTATTTGACACATGTGTAAAATAAAATTTGACATGTTTTTAACATGTGTGTTAAATGCCGAACCCTGAAAATGAGTTTATATAGGGGGAATCCGCCACTCGAAGGTCTCAACTTAATGCATACTACATGCTACAAGGTATATGTATATTATGTATCTTTGTTAATGTACAGATAAGAATGCAGGTTGCTCAGGCGCACTGCAGCTTGAGGCTGGCGTCCCTTAGCTGCCTCCTTGCCCGATGCATGGCCATTAGCTGGCACCAGCCCCAGGCCAAGGTCCTGTCCTACATCTTCTGCTCCAGCAGGGATCCTCCAGCATTGCCGCCTCCTCCGCCAGTTGGCAGATGCATCTGCATGCGCTCCAGTTGATCCGCCAGCAGTCGCTGTTCGTTGGTCAGCCGCAGAATCTCCTGCTTCTCCTCGATCGTGTGACCCTTGCGCTTGGCCCGATACTGCAGCATCCGCTTGTAGCACTCGAGTATCTCCTGGTCCACCGTGTCCAACTTCCGCTTGATTGCGATCCTTTTGATCTCCTCGCTGGCGGCGGAACGCAATCGCTTCAATTCCTCGCTATTGAACTGCGAAATGGCGCTAATTTCGGTCGTGACCCGCTTGATTTCCATCAGCACCTCATCCACATCCTCGTGGGCCGCCAGTTCGCTGGCATCGATCAGTCCGTTCTCGATGAGGGTCTTCTTCAGCCGCTGCTCAATGCCCACGCCATGCTTCATCATGGCCAGCGAACGAAAGTTGCCGGCGGAAGCGGCAGCCGCTGCATTTGCATTTGCGTTGTTGGCATTTGCCGATGAGGAGGAGTGGGTGTTCTCATTGCTGCCGCTCGTCGTGGTGGTGCTATTGCTGTGCTCTCCCACCGCCGCCTGTTCGCTGGGCAGCGTCATTAGGGATTCCTCCATCAGCGCAGAAACCAAACGCTGGGTCAGCGGACCCGTGATGCTCTCCACCTCGGCCATTCCCTCGGCCTTCTTGATCATTCCGCTGGCATTTTGCGACTTGATACGCGCTCCTCCCGGCTGCATTGCCTTCATATCCTCCTGCGCCCAGGCGGTGGAGTAATGGGGACCCAGCGGCGGCACCGGCGGCACCAGGGGACCGCGATACTGCTCCAGCAGGTCGTCTATCAGCCGCAAATCCTCATTCGTCAGCGGCATGCAGTAGGGCTCCACAGAGAGCCAGAATTTGTTGGGCGTATCATTCTTCGGCACCGCCACCTTGGGCAGCTGCGGCAGTTGCGGTTGATGATGCGGCAGCAGGGATCCCGAGGCACTGGCTGCCACCAGAGTGGGCAGATAGTCCATACTGTCATCCGTGTGCACGGTTAAAGGGCTATTTTTGGCCTGATTTTTCGAGGAGATCGTCATCGAGGAGTGCTTCTTGCGCACGCCAGTTGGTTCATCGCGTTTCCTCTTGGTTTGGCTGGCGGATTGGCCTGCTCCTCCACTCAAGGGACTTCCCAGACTGCCCGAGGAGTTGCTGCCCATTCCGAGCAGCCCGTTTAGCATGCTTGTGCCGCAGGGTGGCGATCCGGGCACGCGATCCAGCTTCCTGCGATCCTGGCGCTTCTCATCCTTGTCCAGGCTGTCGTATTCGGATTTCAGGACCCTCGTGCGCAGCGCCACATTGGAGAGCATCTGCTCGAGCTCCAGCTGCACTGCATCCAGATCCTCGGCGGCCAGATGATCGTCCGAAGGACGCTGTAAAGCGGTGGCAATGGTGGGCAGCAGCCGGGCGACGTCGCGGGTGCGGATTATGGGTATGGCGATGCCGGAGGGCGTGGTCAGGAGCTCCTCGGTGGTGGAGGAGGCGGAGGAGGAGGTGGGAGGATTAGATTTCCCACCATTTTGGCCATTTGTGGGCAGCTTGCCTGCTCCTCCGGAAGATGAGGAGGATGCAGAGAGACCGAAGCCAGCAGAGCCACTGGGCGGAGCGCCAAAGTGGGCCAGCTTGCTCATGTTCTTCAGGTTCGCACTCATGGGACGCGGCTGCAACTGCGACTGGTCGAATTTAATGCGCTTTTCTTAACAAAAAATTACAATCTTTTCTTTATTGTTGATTTTCCTGATATCGATTAAGTGCACCACCTGATATCGATATGGGTCGCTATTTTGTTTGCACTAGAGATGGGCGTTATATATCGATAGCAAAATGTCTGGTTGTTGTCTTCGCTAACTTAGCCGCGACACTCTCCATTGGTATTTTTTAAGTGTATACTCGAAGATATTTAGGGTATTCCTTAAACTGTTAAGTAGCTGAATTTATTTGAATTATGATAAAATAAAACTACAAATTTTAAGCAAGAGTATCGTTTAGCAACCAAGGTTTTACAGACAATCAGTATTTTCCCTTTGTGGAAGTGTATATGATACAAAATTTAACTTAATCTTTAAACTATATCTAAATTTTTTATTAATTTGCAAGCATTTAATATATCTTTTTTTATTTTCTATTAGTGATTAAATCAACCGATTTCTAAATGCGAGTATTTTAGCTGCACTCAAGGTCATTTTTAGTTGGATATAAATACCTCAACAGTTTCTAGCATTTCCACACACTTGCACTCGATGGGGTCGTTTTTTCAAATTAAAACTAGTATTTAATGGAATGAAAATGGCACTGGAAACTAAAGTCCTTCGACCTAATAATTCTTTTAAATAACCAATAATATGAATAATTTTAACAGCCACTGTTAATAACAGCGCTAACAGTGATCGTGGCCCCTAACAGCACCCTCGATCGCTGTGCAACACTGCCGCCCGACCGTTTTGCGCGCGCGTTTTGCAATACTTGCCTGGTTGGTTTTTTTAGCGTTCACTTCTTTGTTGTTGTTTGGCCCTCGCATTTCGACCGTCGTCGTCTGAATTCGGAAATCTTTGTGATATGCGCGCTATTCGGTGATAAGCAGTGTACTTAACAAATCAACGGCTGTTGACAATTAGTAATGGCCAGCGGGAGCAGCTTGCGATGTTAGAATAGAGCCCCCACGAAAGGCGAAGTGCAAGTGCAAGCTGCAGGCTGAAGTGTATGTATGTAATTTTATGTAATTGAAAAGCAATTTTCCACCCCCCCGCCCCCGCCCGCGCCCCCTTCAAGGCCCCCAAATCCCAGAAATCGCCCGATAATCTCGGACTGGGTGCCTCCAATTGCGCCTCGTTTGGCCAATTGTGATGAAGGCAAGGCGAAAAAAATCACAAGACTCAAGACAAATTGACGACGAGCTCTGCTGCCCCGCCCCTCAGTGACAGCCGCCCCCTTTTGCCAGCGGAAATCAACAAAAATCAAAAGCCAACATTCAGTCTGTAAATCCCAGCATTCGTTTCCACTTCACTCTCAAAAACGGGGTACTAATATCACTGTTACTGGGTTTGTAAAACTAGAGATCCTAACTCAAGTAACTTGACTCTGGCTTACTTTTTGGGAATTCTAATTTTACAAAAGTGTTGCATTTGAGTTCAAGTTAATACCCTGAAAGTTTCGCATCTTTAGGACTAAAGATCTCTGAATGGGGAGTGATTAAGTGGAAGGAAGTGTAAATTACCATCGATCTAAACCACATAACTTTAAATCTGCGTATTTATTTTGATTTTTAACCAAGCAAAAGTGCTATATTTAAGTTAATGTGTATTATCTGAAAGTTTCACATCTATAGAACTTAAAAGATCATATGTTTCTTGATACAATTTCTTTGTTTCTTTCTTTCTTTGTTTACATTGTTTTAATTTTACACTAGTTATATTGTAGGAATGGTTATTTTGATTTTATGCCATATTTAATAGTACCTACATTATCTTCAAGATAATCCCTGCAAGATTGCTACAGATAGTGGCTTATAATTGCCATAAGATCTGTTGTTTTAAAGCTCTCACCGCAAGTAGGGTATTTCCAGCTTCGGTCCCCCCGTGGCAAAAACCCTCCGTTCTTGTTTTATTGATCAAATATTTGCGTCTACGTGTGCCGATGTCGATGTGTTCCGGCGATGTCTCAGCGATTATAGGGGCTTTTGTATGTCAGCTGTTGGTGCTGTTGTTTCAGTCGGCACTAGCACATGTTTTATAAGCCCAGTACCAGTACCATTTCCAGTCCAGCCGATTCGTTATCAGTGCTAATTAAACTACAGAAGAGAAATCTGAGAACGGCGGCGATAAGGCGATAAGGTCGGAACACTGAGATGGGCGGGATAACTTCAGATTCGCCGGCGATGTCGATCGATCAGAGACAACACCTCTAATCCATTACGATTGTTATTGTATTATGGCATATGGTATATGGTATATGGTCTAATCAATCAGCGAGCCGATCTATATTTAGGCTGTACTGTTGACGTTAATTGACCGCCAGTCAGTCGACCGCCACCCCCTCCACTCTCCACTGACCACTGACCCTCCCATCAATTATCGCCCAGGTACGGGCCACTCTTCTGGGTGCCCGAAGGTGGAAACTAGACAATAAACTATGGAAATAGCCATACAGTGGACAAAAACGTTGGAATAATAGTTTAAAAACATAAAATTCTACAAAAAAAATTTTAATTAGAATTTTTTTTGGTAAAAATCATAAATAAACTATAACACTTGAAAGATAGTCCTTGATAGACACTCAAATAAATAAAAACAATTTTTTATAGTAGCAAAATGAAATATTAACAACAATATTAGCGAGCTAAAAATATATAGTTATCTTAAAAATGTTAAATTCCCCGTTAAGGATTTATTTTAAAATTGGCATGTTGATAATAAAATTTAGATAACAAAACATGTCTATCAGTTTGGCCAAAAAAAAATATCTAATTAAAAATAAAAAAACCCTTCAAACTAAGGCATTTTTAAAAAATCTTTTATAGAAAACAAATTTTTTTTCTAGCTGTGTAGGGTGTAGGTTGGGCGGAAGTTTTGCCCAGAAATCGAGGAAGGGCAGCGGTAAAATAAAATGCCACAGCAACAGTTGGCGACGCAAATATTTGTGCAATTGATTAAAACATTCTCCCATCCCCATCCCATCCCATTCCGATCTCTATCTCTATATCTTATACGGCTCTATTTGAACGGGCGACAAAAATTTTCCAATTTGCTTAACTCGTTATGCGGGCCTCGTTAATGATACATATTCCTCCGATATATATATATGTTCGTTCTGTAAAGAGTCGGGTGGCACAGACCCCAATAATTGTTATATTATGGCTTAATCATACAGAGCCCTTTTTTTTTCGGGGCTGGCTCTTATCAGTTATGAAAAAACACACCCACCAGCAGCGTTCAATTTACGATCGCTGGTAGTCATATAGCTATAAGGTGCTTTAGTTAATACGCCCGATTAGCTACTGCATTGATTTGAGCCATTATCCATTATCCCAATCGCTCGTCCGTTAAATTAGCAACGGCCACTGGGAGAAAGCTGAGCGATTGGTTCTGAATTAACGGATTTCGAACCGCACATTACTCACCACCCACAGCAAAACAAATTGAAAACATTTCTATTTGGGCTGTGAATCATAATAAAATACATTTTTGCTAATCTAGAGTTCTTCTACGTCATGCACGATTTTTATAATTAAACATTTGGCTTATAAACAATTGATAATAAAAACCCTTTCAAAAAGAAATATCAAAAAAAGGTTTACTTAAACTAAATTAAATTAAATATTTTTAAAGTTATTACAACCCATTTAAAATCATTCTTAATTTAAAGACATTTTAAATTTAAATTTTTTTAGATGAATGTCTTCTATATAAAATACTGTAATAAAAGAAATAAATTCCAAATAGTTCCTAAATGTCAAATACATAAAACACTTAAAAAATATAAAAAGAATAATAATAATAATTGCTGACTAACCGATCTTAAACTGATATGCTGATATAGCTCTATAATAAACCCTCTTTTACCTTATAGTTTTAATAATAATAATAATTAAAGTCCACCTTGTAGGCCCCAAGTTTTATAACAATATGATACCAGGAAATGGCCCTAACAACTCTGGAATATTTATCGTTTCAGACTCGCTTCAGTGCAGCGCCGATCAACGGAACGGATCCGATCTGGACTGGACTGTACTGGAGAGACACAGGTTGCCCTAGAAAAGCCAGGCGAAACCATCGGTAGCCATGAAGTTCGCCGAGCACCTGTCGGCGCACATAACGCCTGAGTGGCGCAAACAATACATCAACTATGAGGTGAGTCTGGCCCAGACAAAGTCACAGAGATACTAAGAAAACATATTGAACATATATATCATCCAACAGGAAATGAAGGCCATGCTCTATTTGGCCGTGGAGGAGGCGCCATCGGTGGAGAGTGTCGAGGACGATGTGCTGAAGCGGCATTTCGCCAACTTCGATGAGAACTTCTTTCACTACTGCGACAAGGAGCTGAAGAAGATCAACACCTTCTACTCGGAGAAGCTGGCGGAGGCCACGCGCAAGTTTGCCACCCTGAATGCCGAGCTAAAGACCTCCATCGAGGAGTCGGAACGGAGTGCCAAGAAGTCAAAGTCAAAGAGCCAGAAGCGGCATGCGGCGCTGCCCGATCGCAAGGCCCGCGAACTGAAGTTGGCCTTCAGCGAGTTCTACCTGAGTCTGATCCTCCTGCAGAACTACCAGAATCTGAATCACACCGGCTTTCGTAAAATACTCAAGAAGCACGATAAAGTGAGTCTGATTTACGGCCTCTGCGGTAGAGGCATCATCGCTGAACCTTGACCTAGTCAAAAAAGAGATCTTTTGGGGATTACAAAAGTCTAGTCTGCGGCGTAGAACAGACCAACTTTTGTCTGAGAAATAAATAATATGAATTTATTGTAGGGTTTTCGGGAAAAACGTTGCTTATCGCTGTGCTTTTGAGCAAAAGTGAATCATTCATTCTACTAAGATAAGAATAATCGGTTGGATATGTTGTAGATCAATGTTTTTTGTTCTCACTATTAATTAATTTATTATGGAATCTTACTTATACTTATAGTACATATTTATTGTAGGGTTTTTGGGAAAACCATTAGCAAATATGAGCAAATGTGAATCATTCATTCTGCTAGGATAATTTTACTAAGAAAAATCGGTTGGATATGTTGTAGATCAATGTTTTTGCTCTCACTTTTAATTAATTTATTATAGAATCTTATTTATATTTATAATATCAATTTAAAATATAAATTTATTATAGAAAAACGTTGCTTATCGCTGTTCTTTCCGCGGTAACCATCATAAAATATGAGCAAATGTGAATCATTTATTCTACTAAGATAAGTAAAATCGGTTGGATATGTTGTAGGTCAATGTTTTTGTTCCCACTGCTAATTAAATTATTATAGAATCTTACTTAACAACTATTAAATTAACTTTCTCATTACTTTTCACAGCTCTTGCGTGTTGACAGCGGTGCCAAGTGGCGGCAGGAGTATGTGGAGGCGTCGCACTTCTTCACCAACAAGGACATCGACAATATTATCAATGAGACAGAGACCACGGTCACTGGCGAGCTGGAGGGCGGCGATCGTCAGCGGGCCATGAAGAGGCTACGCGTACCGCCGCTGGGCGAGCAGCAGAGTCCGTGGACGACCTTCAAAGTGGGCCTCTTCTCGGGCAGCTTCATAGTGCTGGGCATTGTGGTGGTGCTGTCGGCCATCTTCCACGAGATTAGCGGCGAGAATCTGAAGGTCACGTTCCGCCTGTATCGCGGTCCCCTGCTCATCATCGAGTTCATCTTCCTGATCGGCGTCAATATCTACGGCTGGCGATCGTCGGGCGTGAATCATGTGCTAATCTTTGAGCTCGATCCGCGGAATCATCTATCCGAGCAGCATTTAATGGAGCTGGCGGCGATATTCGGTGTCGTGTGGACGCTCAGCATGCTGAGTTTCCTGTATAGCGCCAGTTTGGCCATACCGGCGTTTATTAATCCGCTGACGCTCACGCTGATTATGGTGCTCTTCCTGGCCAATCCGTTTCATGTGCTCCACCACGACGCTCGCTTTTGGCTGTGGCGAATCACGGGTCGTTGCCTCTCAGCGCCGTTCTTTCATGTGGGCTTCGCTGATTTCTGGCTGGGCGATCAGCTGAATTCGCTGGCCACCGCTATTTTGGACTTTGAGTATCTCATTTGTTTCTACTTCACCAATGGCAACTGGACGGAGGCGAGGGATGCCTCGATTTGCATGGAGAAGGACTTTATCATCAGACCAATTGTGAATTGCCTGCCCGCCTGGTTCCGGTTTGCCCAGTGCCTGCGGCGATATCGGGACTCGCGGGAGGCCTTTCCCCATTTGGTCAATGCCGGCAAATACTCCACCACCTTCCTGGTGGTGATCTTCGCCACCCTCAAGAGCTTTCACAGTCGTAAGTGTTCTAAAATCGAGTTATTAGTTATAATTGGACATCGGATTTTAGGTGAAATTTTAATTTAAATACGATTTAAAGCCACATTTGAAAATAGCTAAAAATGACAAATTTAGCCGCTTTTTCCTCTTTTTCATAAAAAAATTTTACTGAGATCTTTCCATTCAAAAAATCATAAAAATACAAGGAAAAATATTTTGAAATTTTTTTTTGCAGTTATTATTAATTTTGTTTGGGGAAAAAGTTTGCATCAAAACATTTTTGTTTTAAGCCCCAGGAAAAAAGTTTAAAATTTGACTTTTACAAAATTTTGGAATTTTCAAAGGATGCCTTATGGGTTAAAGAAAATTTTTGTGTCATTTAAACGGAATTGAAGTGCTCTTTTATAGGTGCCAAAAGTTTATATTATAAGCTCAAAATATGAGTAAAGTTAACATTCAAATCTGTGAAAATAATTATGCCAACCATTGTATATAAAAATATTTAATAATTCTTAAACCCTTCTTGCAGCAAACTATGCCAGCACCTTTGACAATCCCTACACCTGGCTGTGGATCATCGCCTCGATTGTGTCCTCCTGCTATGCCTACACCTGGGACATCAAGATGGATTGGGGTCTGTTCGACAAGAATGCCGGCGAGAATACGTTCCTGCGCGAGGAGGTGGTCTACTCATCGACGGTAAAGGGATATATAAATTATAAATTATAAAACTATATATAAACTTTCTTTTACCTTCAGGGTTTCTACTACTTTGCCATTGTGGAAGATCTGGCGCTACGCTTCATTTGGGTGCTCTCCTTCTACCTCACCGAGATGAAGATCGTGAGCAGCGACATAATGACCTCCATCACGGGCATTTTGGAGGTGTTCCGGTGAGTTTGGGATGCCAGAATAATTATAAAAATAAATTATAATATATAACTTTATTTAATAGCCGCTTCGTTTGGAACTTTTTCCGTTTGGAGAACGAACATCTGAACAATTGCGGCAAGTTCCGAGCCGTGCGAGACATCTCGATAGCGCCGCTGGACTCCTCCGACCAGGCGCTCATCCTGCGCATGATGGACGAGGCCGATGGGGTGATCAATCGCTACACGAAGACGAACCGGCCGAAGCCCAAGAAGGTCAAGGATCCGGAGAAGCGGAGCCTGCTGCAGACGCGCGGTTCACTGCCCGATCTCAGGATCGATATGGACAGTAAAAAGTTGTAGGCCCGCCACCGAATTGTGCTTCCTAACGAAAGATTTTGCGGAACGACAGAGCCTATCGATAATTCAATTTACACTATTTTTTTGTAATCATACACGTTCTTTTTTTTTTTATTTGCGTTGTTTAGCTAATTTGTATATTTAGTGACTAAGTACTTAAAGTTGAGGAGCGACAATGTCCAGCAATAATTAGTGCCTAAGAATTCGAACTAATTTAGCATTCCATTTATGCGGTTAAACTAACTAACGAGAAAGACCAAACCTATACCTTTATATATATATATATCCTGTAACCTATGCCCCTAAGCCACACGTTTCCAAATCCAATTCGAAATCCATACCTTCCACAAAGAAAATACGAAAAATTGGAGTAGATAACGGCAGTATTAGTACTTAGAAGAGGTAACAACGAACAAAGTAACTAAAATCAAAGCAAAAACTACCTGCAGCCACCAACCACATTCCTCAATCTATCTATCTATCAGTTTATGTTTATCGTTAGTCAATTAGTTAGATTTGCCTTATCTGTTATATCTGTCTGTCTTATCTGTCCACCGGTTGATTGATATGCGACTTACATAGACTGTGACCAAACCGAAACTTAAACTGAAACTTAAAGTTAAATTTAAAGCGAAACCTAAAGGAATTGTACATAGTGTACATATAGTGGCGCCTGTGTGCGTCTTTTCTCTCAGTGTGTGTGTGTGTTTGCAAGGTTCTAAACTCTAAAGCGCCGTTTTCTCGTCCGTCTGTTAAATTTAAAGCAAGGTTTAATCTCGGATTTAAATTTAACCAACAGACGAGAAAACCGTACTTAAAAAGTGCAATGTACAGATGTCTACATAAATATATATACACACATAGACTTAAGAACATTTTGTCAGATATTTAATGAAGACTTTGTCAATTTTTGCCATATGTAGCTCGCGTTTTTGAGCTCTCATTTGCCTTGTCAAAATAGAATATTCTATTGCTTTTAATACGAAAAAACGAAAGTAGTGCACAAAAAAAATCCCTAGAAAAACCGCTTTGATTGTATTATATAGTTAACATGAGATCAGATCCCAATACCTTAAGCCCAGATTGTTAACCAATCCAATCCTCAGACCCACACACACACCATATGTATTGTACACCCTAGCAAGAAATACCCGAAAATGAACAAGAAACGAAATAAAGACGGCTTGAAGTAAAACCACGAAGAGATCTAGCAAATATTCTCCAATACGGCCGACACCAGGGCGGTTCCGCGCATTATCCAAAACTCGGGATTGTTGTGGCTGCGCAGGAGGACGGCCAGAATGAAGTTGGTGGAATGGCCGGTGGTGGAAAGGACACCGGATCGCTGCTGGGTCTTGTAGAGCGGCGCCTCGTAGCGCACAGTCGGCGAAATCTCCAGGCAGGGCTTGAACCTCACCACCGGCATTCGGCTGAAGAGCTCCCCGAAATTGGCATCGCACAGGCCGCCCTTGCTCAAATCCCAGCGAGCAGCCTCGATGAAGATTCCGTGCACATTGATAACCGCATCGGTGCACTCCTGCAAGTTGCCATAGAGCTTTTGGTCCTGTGATGAAAAAGATAAAGTAAGTTAGTTCAACAGGAAAGCTAATCTTCATTTCATTTTATCTAGAAACCTACAGACGGACGGACAAACGGACGGACAGACGGACGGACGGACAAACGGACGGACGGACGGACAGACGGACGGCAAAACGGACGGACAAACGAACGGACAGACGAACGGACAGACGAACGGACAAACGAATGGACAAACGAACGGACAAACGGACATGGCTAGATCGACTAGTCTAGTGATGCTGATCAAAAATATTTATACTTTATGGGGTCGGATAACAAAATAGCTTACAAATTCAATAACAATAGTAATCTCACATTTCATCTAGAGAAATACTCACATTCATGTTGTTCATGTGCATCTCGAAGAAATCCTGCTGAACCAGCTCCTTTTCGAAGACATCAAAGTCAATCTTCAGCGAATCGATGGGCAGGACGCGTCGCCGGGCGTAAGTCTGCAGGACGCCGGTGAGGAAGGATTGCGGGAAGAAGAAGCCACTGATCCAATAGGAGCGCGGCGCTCCGTTCTCCGCCCACTGCTGGATGAAGTCGATGCGCCGCTGGAAATCGGATATGTAGCTGGGCAGCGGCTTGATCGAGAGGAAGCTGCGCTTGGCCCACGAGGCGGGCACCTGGTTGGAGAGCAGCGCCTTGAACACGTTCTCCAGCTCCTCGGACATCACCACCAGGCCCTTGATGGCCTTGGCCAAGTTGATCATGCTGTCGTGGATGATGCCCAGCGCGATGTTGAACCGATCGATCTCCTGCAACAGCACAATGGTCAGCGAGGGCACCTGACCCTTGGAATCCAGCTGGAGGAGGTAAGAAATAGAATAGATAACAAGAGGGAGATGGATATAAAACATTTTTTTGATTGGGCATAACTTTTTAATGAATGGTCCGATTTGAAAAATGTCTTTTACATTTCGATAGGTATAAATATACACAACAAAATTGCATTTATACTTTTCGGAAATCTTTAAAGGTGTGGCCGCCAGACACATTTTAAAATCGTTGGTGGGCGATTGGGGGAGTGGCGCTCGGCTGAAATAAACGTGCTCTGCGTAAGAAGCCCAAGAATATGTGTGGAAAATCTCAACCTTCTAGCTTTTGTAGTTTCCGAGATCTCAGCGTTCATACGGACGGACAGACGGACGAATACAATATACCCTTTTCTCTACTTAAGGATTAACCCATGAAGACTATATATATACCCACCACCGAGAGCGTGTCGTGGATGGGCTCCCGCTTGATCTTGGTGGCCAGCGCCTTTTGAATCCTTGCTATCGTCTGCTGGGCAATCTCGTTCTCCATCGCCTGACCTTCGTCGGCGGCGGATCGCGGCTGTCCCAGCAGCAACGTGTTGATGAAGAAGGCCGTCTCCTTGGTCTGAAACACAATGTTGGCGTTCTGGTTCATCCCGAATATCTCCGGATCCTCGAGCACCGGAAAGCCCTGCACATACGAGGAGTACTCGGCCAGCGTCTTCTTGCGCGGATCCCGATAGTAGCTATCGCCGCGACAGTACTTGTAGTCCGGCTGGATGATCCGCTTCGAGGAGAAGATCGTGAGGATGGTACGCAGACAGCGCAGATCCCAGTAGTCCGTCACCCGACCGCCCCAGGTGATGTCGCCGTTGATATAGAGTATCGCCTCCCACGGAATATCGTCGAGCACCTCGCGATCGATGAAGAAATCGAGGGTCTTCAGGCCGCATTCACGATCGCTCTCGCTGAACTCGTATGTGATATTCCAGCCCAGGGGTCCGAATTTCCTGCGCTCCAGCAAGACAGCATGGAACATGCAGAGCCCAAAGACGATGGCCCGCCAATTGCCATTCTGGATGTGCTGCTCAAAGAAGTCCGGCTTCAGATCAGTCATCGCACCAAACACATTCGCCTTGATACCCTTGGGCGGCTCATTGGTGATCTTCACCGAATTCTGCAGCACACTGATCGGAAACGTCTGGATGGGCATCGAGGAGAGATACAGCCGGAAGTCGACATGCGCCTTGGTGATGCCCAGCGTTAGATTCCGCACAATCGTCTCCAGGGTTTGCATGAACGAGGTGGCCAGGTGGCAGTTCTGCAGGAACACCCAGTGACCCAAGCGCAGGCTCTTCTCGATCAGGTTCTCCGCCAGCGGCCCCTGACCCTGGCCCAGCGAAATCGAGTAGTACTTGTCGGTGAACTGCATCTGGGTGGTGAACTTCAGGAAGCCCGACATCGGATCCGAGCCGGTGGACAGCACAAAGATCAACGGCGTCACCGCCGAGGTGTCCAGATAGCTTTAAAAATGATAGAAAAATATTAAAAACTATTCGAAATGTGCAAAAAATCAGGATATGATAGGATAAAAACTCTAAGAGAAGGACACTAGGACTAGTTTGCGTAGAAACGGACGGACAGACAGACGAACGGACAGACAGATGAACGGACAGATGAACGGACAGACGAACGGACAGACGGACGAACGGACAGACGGACGAACGGACGGACGGACAGACAGACGAACGGACAGACGGACGGACAGACGAACGGACAGACAGACGGACGGACGGACAGACGAACGGACATGGCTAGATCGACTAGTCTAGTGATGCTGATCAAAAATATGTATACTTTATGGGGTCGGATAACGAAATAGCTTGCATCCCATTAAAGTTCAATAATAATAGTAATTTTAAAAATATTTTTCCAGATCTTACACCGAGCTCAATTGGGTGCCGCCGGAGGCCTCGGTGAAGTACTTGCCCACGGTGGACTGCAGATAGCAGACCACGTTGAGCAGGAAGCGCGGCTTTCGGAAGGCGGCGATGAACATCAGCTTGTGGAAGACCCTCAGCCGTTTGTCCCACTTGTCCGTCGGCGCCTGATTGCTCTGGGCAAAGTCGAAGACCTCCCGGTTCTCCTGCATCTGAATGAAGAAGGGCTTGTCCAGTTCGTCGGTGAATCCGGCAAAGAAGCTCTTGAAGTTATCCTCCAGAAACAGGCACGAGTCCCATTCGATTTGGCTCATCTTGATGTTGGCCGGCTGCTTCTTCGGGCGAATGTTGCCCACGGGACCGCGGGTGAGGAAGAGGAACTCCTCCTCGGTGACACGACCCTCCTGCCGTTCCACGGACAGCGCTAGCAGAAAGCTAAAGATTATCTTGTGGTTCTCGAACAGCCCACGTGATATATTATCGAAAATGGCCTTCAGTTCGTCGGTCATCAGTGTGGAAATGCGCAGCTCGACGGCCTGCGGTGGATGCTCCAAGCGCAGCACATTGCAGAAGACCTGCGTGAAGTACTTCAGGCTGTACTGGTACATCGGATCGATCTCGGCCAGGCCGGCGACCACAAAGTACAGAATGGCGCCGCGGGAGGCCAGGATGCGATAGCGTTCCCGCGAAGCGGTTATCACCTTCTCCGTCTCCTCGGTGTCAATCAGTCGGGCGGCAATGATCAGGGAGGTTTCCTAAAAGAACGTTAAAAATTTAATTGATTGATTAAAATTGATCTCACACCTTAAAAGTTAAAATTCTTTAAACCCTTAACAAATTTTTTTTTATAATTATTTCATAATAACCAAAACTAATAAATTTAAAGCGTATTGGCCGAAGGACTTCAGTTTCCAGTGCCATTTTCTTTAAATTAATTTTAGTATTGTATACTAGCTTTAATTTGACAAAATAAAAAAAAAAAAATAAAAAAAAAATTTTAAGCGACCTAAAAATTAAATATTAAATATAAGTGCTATATGAGATAATAAGTTTAAATATGTTTAACTTAATTGATACGTTTTTGTGACTAGCGCATTAATAATAAGCTCAAAGCTTGTAGCGTT